TTGTTATTATTGTTATTGTTGTTGTTGTTATTGTTGTTATAGTTATTGTTATTGTTGTTGTATTATTGTTATTTATAATTTGTACAAATAACCTCCCTGTGGTTCGACCCCGGTCTTGCCGGGTTATTTATTACTTCGACACTCCTGCACTTGGGAGAAGACATCAATCTTTTCGTCGTGTCAAAATGCAAGCTGAATTTTTGAAAAAATACTTTCCCACTCATAGGACAACAACCTTACAACGTCAAATGATGAATTTTTATTGTAGTCCAAATGAGTCATTTCACCAAGCTTGGGAAAGGTTCAAAGACTTGTTAAATGCATGCCCCTACCATGGTTTTGAGATGTGGAGGTTAGTGAGTTTCTTCTATGACTCTCTTACCGCAGATTTTAAAAAGCTAGTGTCAATCATGTGTAATGGTGAGTTTTATGACAAAGAACCAAGTGAGGCCTTTGATTTTTTTGATCAATTGGCTGAAAACACAAAGCAGTGGGAGACTTCTCTCCCAGTTCATGTTGAGTCTAGAAACACCATTTCTCATTCAAGTGGGAAGTTTCAATTGAAAGAGACTGATGACCTCAATGCTAGATTAGCCTCATTGGCTAGGAAAGTAGAGTCTCTTGAGATTAAAAAAGTGCATGTCATGAGTAAACAACAAGAGGAAAGTTGTGTTGTTTGTGAGAGCAAAGGGCATAGGACAACTAAGTCTCCTACCATTCCAGCTTTCAAGGAAGTGCTATATGGCCAAACTTCTGATTCAAGTAATGTTAGAAAGCCATTTCCAAACCAAGTAGGCAATCCCTACTTTGAGACCTATAATCCTGGATGGAGGAACCACCTAAATTTTGGATGGAGAAATGAGGGCTCTTCAGTACCTCAAACATTTCAACCTCCACCACAACCATTTTATTCTCCCACACATAACACATATCAACCACCTCATAAGAGATCCCTAGAGGATAATACTCTTCAATAATTCATGCAAACGCAAGGAGGAATCAACAACCAAGCTTACAAATTCCAAGACCAGACCAATAGGACCTTAGATGACATTCGAAGTCAACTAACTAAGTTGACTCAATCACTAAGCATTTAAGAGAAGGGAAAAATCCCAGTTGAACCAATGCCCAATCCTAGAGGTCAGGTACACATGAGTGAATCCTCACCTAGTAAACCTTCAAACCATGAACAAGTCCAAGCCATCACTACCCTTAGAAGTGGAAAGATTGTTGACAAAGGTATAGGTTTTAGGATTCCTAAAGGTATTGTGGAGGAGAAATATAGGGAAAGTGAAGAGGGAATCAAAACACAAGTGACAAATGAGAGTTTGAGTGACAAAGAATGTGAGATAAATGAGAAAGAGATGAGTGAGAAAGGAGATGATTCAAGAAAAATTGGAGTCAAAGTGAGTGATTTAGAATGTGTTCCTAGAGCACCATTTCCACAAAAGGTTAGGGAAACCTAAATAAGATCTTATGAACTCCTTGATGCAATTAAACAAGTGAAAGTCAATATTCCACTCCTTGATGCAATTAAACAAGTTCCATCTTATGCAAAGTTTCTTAAGGATTTATGCACAGTCAAAAGGAGATTGAATGTGAAAGAAAAAGCCTTTCTAACTGAACATGCTAGTGCCATCATCCAGTTTAAGACCCCTCCCAAATACAAAGATCCTGGTTGTCCTACCATTTCATGCATTATTGGAAGTCATAAGATAGTTCAAGCTTTGTTGGATTTAGGAGCAAGTGTGAATTTAATACCCTACACTATTTACGAACAATTAGGTTTAGGAGAAATCAAGCCTACTCGAATCACCCTTCAATTAGCTGATAGGTCAATCAAGATTCCCAGGGGTATTGTTGAGGATGTGTTGGTCCAAGTAGATAAATTCTACTTTCCTGTTGATTTTATAGTGTTAGACACCGCACCAATTCAAAGTTCTAATGCTCCCATCCCAATCATTTTAGGGAGACCTTTCCTAGCTACATCCAATACCTTAATTAACTGTAGGAATGGGGTGATGAAATTGTCTTTTGGGAATATGACTGTGGAGATGAACATATTTCAATGTCTCCAAACAAATTAGGGAACATGAGGACATTAGAGAGGTAGATTTCATCCAAACAGTTTGTCAAGAACACTTTGAGAGAGTGTGGATCAAGGATCCATTGGAGAGAACTTTAATTCATGATGAAAGATTTTGTTCTTCGGAATGTGTTGATGAGGAAGTAAGAGAACTCGAGACTTATCTAGATCCAATGCCTATTATGTCAATAGGTCAATGGACCCCATCATTTGAGCCTTTGATTTCACCCCAAGTGAAAGTTGAGGACTTGTCCAGCCTTATAAACCAGAAAGGAAGCCTTTATCGAGTGATCTTAAGTATGCATTTCTAGGGGAAGATGAATCATATCCTATTGTGATCTCATCAAAACTTAGCATAGAGCAAGAACACAAACTTTTGAGAGTGGTGAGAAAACACAAGAAAGCAATTGGGTGGAAAATTACTGACTTGAAAGGAATTAGCCCTCTTTTATGTACACATAGAATCTATCTTTACTGACTTAAAAGGAATTAGCCCTCTTTTATGTACACATAGAATATATCTTGAAGAAGAGGCTAAATCTGTGAGGCAAATGCAAAGACGATTGAACCCAAACATGAAGGAAGTAGTGAGAGGTGAAGTGCTTAAGCTACTTGATGCAGGTATCATTTACCCTATTGCAAACTCAAAATGGGTTAGTCCAACCCAAGTTGTCCCAAAAAAATCTGGAGTCACGGTAGTGAAGAATGAAAATAATGAGCTGGTACCAACTAGAATCCAAACTGGATGGCGTATGTGCATTGATTATCGTAAATTGAACATGGTGACTAGGAAGGACCATTTTCCGCTTCCATTTTTAGACCAAGTGCTTGAAAGAGTAGCTGGAAGAGCTTTCTATTATTTTCTTGATGGATACTCAGGTTACAACCAAATTGAGATTTCTTTAGAAGACCAAGAAAAAACCACTTTCACTTGTCCTTTTGGTACTTATGCTTATAGAAGAATGCCATTTGGTTTGTGTAATGCACCAGCCACTTTTCAAAGGTGTATGATGAGTATCTTTAGTGACATGGTGGAAAATTTTTTGGAAGTTTTCATGGATGATTTTTCAGTTTATGGGGATTCTTATGAGTTGTGTCTAATGAATCTAGAAAAAGTTCTTGAAAGGTGTGAAGAGAGCAATCTTGTACTCAATTGGGAGAAGTGTCATTTTATGGTGACACAAAAGTCCTTGAAAGATGTGAAGAGAGCAATCTTGTACTCAATTGGGAGAAGTGTCATTTTATGGTGACACATGGCATTGTCTTAGGTCACATTGTCTCTTCAAAAGGGATAGAGGTAGATAAGTCAAAAGTGGAAGTCATTCAAAAATTAACTACCCCTAAGACTGTGAAAGATGTGAGATCTTTTTTAGGACATGCTGGTTTTTATCGAAGATTCATTCATTCTTTTAGTATCATTGCCAAACCATGGTGTAACTTGTTGTCACAAGATGTCCAATTTGATTGGACATCAAAATGTCAAGAAGCTTTTGAAAAGCTTAAAGGGTTGTTGACAACTGCACCAATCATGCAAGCTCCTGATTGGTCTTTACCATTTGAACTGATGTGTGATGCTAGTGATTTTGTGGTTGAGGCTGTTTTAGGGCAAAGAAAAGACAAGAAACCTCATGTCATATATTATGCTAGCAAGACTTTGAATGATGCTCAATTGAATTACACTACAACTGAAAAAGAACTCTTAGCTGTGGTCTTTGCATTAGACTAGTTTAGGTCTTATTTGGTTGGATCTCTTGTTATTGTTTTCACTGATCATGCAACATTGAAATATTTGCTCACAAAACAAGATGCCAAACCACGTTTGATTCGATGGATCCTCTTACTCCAAGAGTTTAACCTTGAAATTCGAGATAAAAAGGGAGTAGAGAATGTAGTAGCTGATCATTTGTCTCGTCTTTCAAGCTATAAGACCATAATTGATGAATCTCCAATAAATGAACTCTTTGCTGATGAAAATTTATTTTGTGCAGGTCATTTGTCTTGTTTTTCAAGCTATGAGACCATAATTGATGAATCTCCAATAAATGAACTCTTTGCTGATGAAAATTTATTTTGTGCAGGTACTGTCTCCTACATTAGTTCTCCATGGTATGCTGACATAGCAAATTACCTAGCCACAAGTCAGATTCCTTCTCATTGGTTTAAACTTGAATGAATTAAATTCTTGCGCAATGTGCGCACCTTTTTTTGGGATGACCCCTACCTATTTAAATATTGTCCTGACCAAATTATTAGGCGGTGCATCCCTGATCATGAAATTCCAAGGGTCATTAATTTTTGTCATGCATTAGCCTGTGGTGGGCATTTCTCTTCCAAGAAAACCATTGCCAAAATCTTGCAGTGTGGTTTTTATTGGCCTACCATGTTTAAAGATGTTCATGCCTTCTGTGTTGCATGTGACCGATGCCAACGACTATTATGTTGTGTGCAAACTTCAACCATTAAAAACTCAAGGTTTGAATGTCAATCTTAGCCCAAATAATAGGTATATTTATATACTTATTTGATGCTTAAATTCAGCCCCAAATCAGCCCCAAATCAACCTTCAAATCAGCCCAAACACAATCCATGATCTTACATGTCCACACAACAACAATTGATTTATTTTGGGTAATCCATTGATCCAAGAAGGCAAGCACATGGATGGAAAGCTGGAGGGGACATTTTTACATTATTTTGGGTCAAAAAGAAGAAAGAGATAGCTCATAAATGAGGAAGAAAAAGCTGGAGGGGATATTTTTACATTATTTTGGTTCAAAAAGAAGAAAGAGATAGCTCATAAATGAGGAAGAAAAACGTGCACCAAAGTGGTTGTAAAGCTGTCCTGATTTGATTTTTCAGAACACCTTTCAGTGTTTTGCCCATAACTTTTGACTCAGGTGTCCAAATGAGCTGTTCTTTAATGATCTGGAAAGGTGACAAAATTTCCTATAAATATGTCGCTAATAGACATCTCGAAAAAAAGGCTTCTAAGGGGGTCTAAATTGCTGTCCAAAGTTAGCATCAGATTTGTGTCCGAATTTTTTCTGAAATTGTATTGTGTTCTTCTTTATAGATTTTGGTTCTTTAGTTTGTAAAACTTATTTTTTCAGTTGGATTCAAGTTCTTTCATGTTTATTGAAGTGTTCTTATATATAATCATGGTTGGCTAAACTCTTTCTTGGATCCAAATCAAGGATAATGGTGATTGAGGTGAGTTCTTTAGGATATGAATGAATCTTAATGTTTATCTTCTTATTTTCTAAGGATGATGGTGATTGAGGTGAGTTCTTTAGGATATGAATGAATCTTAATGTTTATCTTCTCATTTTCTTCATGAATGATTTATTATTGCAAAGAAATTTTAGAAATCATATAGGTAATGTTATAATCTTGAATTTTTATGCACAAACTTTAGTTTTGGTATAGAGATTGCTTGATTCAATGTTTTACTTAATATGAAAGTACTTGTTCATTCTTAAACAATAATCAATCTTCATCTTTCTAAACTTCATTGTAATATCTACCGATCTAATATCACCATCGTTGATATTAGGTTGAGTTATCTTATATATGTTGAAGAAATCACCAATACATCACCATTAAAATTGATTTGGACCAAGACTTACTTTTCTTGTCATTTAAAATCTATTTACATTTTTTTTTTATCTTTGAAAACAAATCCATAACCATTAAAATTGATTTGAACCAAGACTTACTTTTTCTTGTCATTTAAAATCTATTTACACTTTTTCATCTTTGAAAACAAATCCATCAATTATTTTCAACCAAGTTATTGTTAATTTAATTTCTCTTGTGTTTTTTTTTTGTTACCTAGCTTAATTTCCAGATCTAGCTCTCTGTGGAAATGACCTCGATCTTACCGAGTTAATTGCTACATCGCACACTCGTGCACTTGCGAGTTAAAACAAGCCGATCATAAAAAGCGGTCAAGCAATTTTGGCGCCGTTGCCGGGGAGCTAGCAAGCAAAGGTAACAAATTTAGATTTGATTATTGGAAAACTAAAAAAAAATCATATAAAAAAAATCAATTGGCTGGTTTTACCACCTAACCTGATTAATGGAGCCAAGCTCTGATACCAAATGATGCGAACCTCGTGATCACATGGTCACGCAACCCACACGCAAAGATGCCAATTCCCGGAAAGCCAA